TGTGAATGTATCCACACAAATTTTTTCATTTCCTTCTGAGTTACTCAAGGCTGCTCTGGCACATGGTTTTACGGTGATCGACTCTAGGTTATACATAATTCCAAATCCGAAAACAACATATCTGAGAAGGGGGTGTTTTTCAGGGGGACTCGTTTACTTCGGCACTTGTTTTTCCCGATTTCTTTGTACATAGACAATGTACATACAAATAGCGATGCGACGATATCGGTGACGGACTACAAGATACAGATACGCAAACAAACGAAACTTAAAGATAACTCGTAACCACCCAAAATCCTAAACGGAGACTGCAGCTAAAGGCAAATAGGAAACCAAAACAGAAACGAAGACGGAAAGCGGAGGTACAATTCCGGTTTTGAATAACGATTACGTATAGTGTGTTTTTAATACGATTCATATAAATATTGTACTAATAGAGAACTTTTTATATTGTGTCAAGGCATACTAAGAACTAAGCGTGATTTGTTAGAAGTCATAGAGTAACGTAAACTTTGATATTGGACTTTTATTACACTCGCCCACACGCATGATATACCATGGAGGATCCCTACGATCCGAAGCCAACCCGATCCGATCCCAGACTACAGAACCACGAAAAACAAAGCAGAAGAGAACAGAAACAACGCGAAAATAGCCGAAACAATAAGCAAATATTACTAACTCTGTTTCCTACAATTGCAAAGTACCAATAACTACGCTAGTTATGTGTGTTAAATATATATATAAATTATTTAAATCAGCGTAAGTGCATAAAGAACCGATTGTATTATAAGTTGCATGTACCATACCAAGTAATGCGCGCCCCAAACGAATATCGCGATGGAACGAACATTCTAGACTGTAGTCGATGTGCAAGAAACGAATAAACTTTCAAAACTACAACATACTCCACCTGCTCCCCTGGCTTCATTTCGCTCTTCCCATTCAGAAAGACACGGTTGCGGATAGGATGAGTTGAAATATACTTACAATTGATTCGGAAATGGTCCACAAACATTCGAAACATCCATGCATTTTTCATTATGAACCTTAAGCGACCGTGTCTAGGCTTTCTAAACCAGTTCAAAAACTAATCCTCTAAACTGCTTTCCTTGCAGAACCCAGTCCGGCGCATGCTCCTCATGCGCCACATCCTCCTTTGGCGGCCACCAGCAGCAGCAGCGGTGGCAGCGGAAGCTTCGAGCGCTCCTTCAGCATCGGAGGCGTGGGATCCGGCGAATGTGATCCAGATGGCACGCCCAGTTCGCCAGCGGTGATGGGCACCAAGCGTAACCGGGTGCTCACCCGTCAGCCGAGGGTGAAGCGGGACAGCGACAGCATCTCGTCCACGAATCAGATATCCCCGGATACGGCTGCAACTACGCTCGACTTTGATCCATTCAATGCTGCGGGTGCCACGAATGCCACGGCCAGAGATTACTCTACCACGGGCTCGCATCATCTGCACCACCAGCCAGCTGTGCACCACCATCATCACCTGCTAACCGTTCCACCGCGGATCGAGCGCCATGCCTCTGAACCGGCGCCCAGTTTGGGCCCCTCCACGCCACACCTGCTTAGCGTGCCGTCCAGCACTCCCTATCTCATCAAGCAGCACTCAGATCCGCTGCTGCCTCGCCAGTCCGCGCTGCACATTGCAGGATCCGGTTCGGGATCCAGTTCTGCGATGGCAACTGGCAGCAATCCGTTTGCCCCGCTGCACCGCCAATACTCGCATCCGTTGTCGGGTTCAAATGCCAGCTATGTCACTCCGGCGCCGCTTCACCATCCGCACCACATCTCACTGCCCGAGTCCATCTACGCCTCGGGGTCCCCGCCGCCGGCCGGCTCCTCACAATACCTGGTGCCCACGCGCGTAGTGGCCTGTCCAGTGGTTTCTAGTGAAACAGCGGCCACGCCCACAAATGCCAGTCCCGGCTCCTTGTCGGCAGTGTCGGCAGCCGTATCTGTGGTTACCTCGCCCAATTCGGCGCTTCATAACAGCGTCAGTAGGCATCAATTGTCGCCCACGTTCTCCAGTGGATCGGATGTAACACACGAGCGAAGGTCTCCGCTCTCGCCCTCCATCAGCAGATCGCAAGTCGTGGAGCGGGCAGGAAAGAATCCAGCAGAGGCCGCCAACGGAGGTGGTTCGAGGCTGCGGACTTCCAAGTCTGCCTCGGGCTCCATCAGTGGCACCCATCTGCATCCCGGCCAGGCCACCATGAGCAGTTCGTTTGAGCATTTGCCCACGCTGCGTGTCAAGAACGAGGAACTGCAGCGATCGGTGTCTTCACCCCAGGTGCGTTGGGTACGTACCCAATTTAAGGATCACTCACTTGCATTCCTTATTTTTGCAGACCCAACGGGAGATCATCACTCTCGAGAATCCGCGTTCTAGTCATTGCCCGGTTATTCGACCGGGTCCGGCGCTGGGCTGCAACTTCTGTTGGAACACCATCGACGGGCATGGACGCATTTTGCGCCGCAAAACGAAATACCATTGCCCGGAGTGCCAGACGAATTTGTGCATTGTGCCCTGTTTCCAGGAGTATCACGAGCGGCTCAACAACGAGGCGGCCGCTGCATCTAGTGGAGCGGCAGCGGCCGATAATCAGCTGAGCAGCAGCACGACGGGATCGGGAAGCAGCAGCAGTGGCAAGGCGTCGCCGTACGTCTCCTCTGCCGGCAGTAGTAGCAGTGGAGCGGGTGCAGCTCGTCATTATACTAAGACGGAATCGATATAATCTGGAGCTGACGTGGCCAAGCCCGCATATTTGTATTTGTGACAGGACGGCCGCCGAGAGAATGACCTCCACCAGACTAGAACCCAAGCATTGCTCGACCTTCTTTCTGGAACATGGTCCAAACACGGTCGTCTGTCGAATTTGTTTTTTTGTCAGCAGGAAGCGCGAAAAACACGCGCTCACGACCTGCACCAAAGTTTTCATTTGTTGTCCCAGTCCCACTGTGCATCCGGCCCGGAGCCCGGGCACACGGACGGACTGCCGGAGAGGGCGCCATGTGGCGCCGGAGATTTGTTTTTTGAGCCGTGCCCAGATGCACGCAGCCATTGTAAAGTAACGAAAATCTTTTGGACCACTCCGCCGGAATGAAGGCGGGGTGAACACTTTTTTAAATCGCTAAATGTAATACTATGTTTATGTGTGTGTACCTATGTACGATATATATATATATATATATATATATATATATATATGAATGTGTATGTTCTTGTACAAAAAAACCGAACGAAAAATCTAACAAAAAATAAAACGTTGACGACGGTGCAGCCAGGCGGTGTATCAAACTTCTGAAGCTCGAATTACGATTAGGTTTTCACCAAGTACAACTACCACTACCCCAATCCGCTCCGGCCTAAACTTAAGTACGTCCTTGCACCTGTACTTTCGCCGGGCACCGCTGCGCAGGCGCACGTATTGTCAAGAGGCCCACACTTGTTTTACTTAACGTTTTATATCTATGTATGTATGTGCACATGTCCTTTAAGGAGGTTTTCGGATGTGCTAGATCCGGGATTCGTTTAACTCTGAGTGTAAACTACCATGTATGTAAACAATACGGAAATCAATAAATACTTGTGACCCTCTGGTTTGATACGAATAGCGTTTTTATGTGGAACTGCAACGAGCCAAGGAAGCTAAATAACTAGGTCGAGCATCTCCTTTACGTTTTACACATCTCACAGTGATCTCGTTTTATTGATCTAATTACCATTTAACAAACCGACTCCGGATTACTTCTTGGCTGGCGCCTGTGGTGGAACGACCTCGGCGGGGGGATTAGCGTTGCGGAAGTTGGGGAACTGTTCCCAAGGTGCCGACAAGTCAAACTTCCTGAACTCCTGGGCCAACTCCAAGGGCTCACAGACGACGCGCTTCTTCTCATCATCGTAGCGCAGCTCCACGTAGCCGGACAGCGGGAAATCGCGGCGCTGGGGATGTCCCTCAAATCCGTAATCGGTCAGAATGCGGCGCAAGTCAGGATGGTTGGCAAAGAACACACCGTACATGTCCCAGATCTCACGCTCGTACCAGTTGGCCGCCTTGTGAACCTCGCAGGCGGAGTCCAGGGGAGTCAGCTCATCGGTGTAGGTCTTAACGCGGATGCGCGAGTTATAGCGCAGCGAGAGCAGATTGTAGACCACCTCAAATCGGTTCTTGCGGCAGGGCACATCCACGCCAGCAATGTCGACCAGGTTGGTGAACTGCGCCTGATGGTGATCCTTAAGGAACTGCAGCACGGGCACCACGCCCTCTGGGGCAATAAGCACCTCCAACTCATCGCCGGCGGTCAGCTGCACCTTCTGCACGTACTTGGGCAGGCACTCGGCCACATACCGCCCGAAATCGGAGAGATGCGAGCGAGCAACTGCGTCCGGCTGGCGGACAGTGGCTGTGGGTGGAATGCCTTACATGTAATTGGCACCGCGATAAAGTCGACTGTTACCTACGCTTATCCGCCTTCTTAGGCTCCACGGGCGCTGTGCTGGCCATCCGGAGAGCAGCCGATCCTGCAGCGGGCACCACTGAATATTGGAGGGTTATAACAGATCAGTTGAAGCTCTAGAGGCGTGACGATTACCCACCATGTTTGGCCGACAGAGCGGCGACTGCGGCCCGGGCGCCCAGATTTCTGATTAAGGCCGCCATTCTACAAACTGTTCAATATAAATTCAACAATTTGCTCCGTTTTTGACAATTTATGTAATGCCAAAATGTCAATATAGTTGTTGGAGCCCCAGGGTTGTCAGTGCGGTCAAATTAATCACACTCGCCAGCCCTCGTTCGGTATTTTAACAATTTTAACAATTGCGGCATATATATTCAATTATTATTAAATTCGACAACTAATTTCCAAAATATAAGATTTCCTGATTTATCAATACGAAATATATCTAAATACTTGATATGTTGATTAATTAAAAATACCAACTCGTTGCAAATGGAAAACATACCGAAAATACCGAGAGCTTCAGCGCACTCGACTACCCTGGCTGAAAACTCTGGCATCGCGTTGCGTTTGGAATTGCGAGAATTGAAATTAAAAACTTCTTGGAAATCAATTGGAAATCAAAACACAACACGATGGTAAGTGAAACGCGTCCTGATAAAGCCCCGGGATAATTGAAATTCAAATCTACAATCGGCACCGTTTGCAGAATCACCTAAAGTGGATGGGCCACTCGTCCACGATTATGGACATTCAGCGCTCGCTGCGTAATGATAATCAGCACTGCGAGGTGGTCCTGGCCTCCAGGGACGGCGTTCGAGTGCGCGCCCATCTCTTCGTGCTTAGCACCTGCAGCGAACTGATGCGCAACCTCCTGGTCGACGTTCCGCGCGGGCAGGAGGCAACCATAATGCTGCCCGACATCCGTGGAGATTTGCTGGAGTGCATGCTGTCCTTCATTTACATGGGAGAGACGAGCCTGCCTTCCGCGTCGCTCTCCGAGTTCCTGGAGGCCATTAACCTGCTGGGCATCAAATCTGCCATCAGCTTCGAGTGCAATCCATCGGCTAGTACACCTAGCGTCGATGTAGAAAACAATTCGTTAGCCGTGGAGTCGGCCAAGTCCATCACTGGCCTCCAGATCGCAGAGGCAGAGCTGTTGGACGACGAGGAGGAGCCACAACCAACGGTTTCTGTGCCAGCCACTGTTCTCGCGGGGTCCCAACATCAGCCCAGCCACTCCAGCCGATCTTTGGAGTATCTGGATGTCTACGAGCCGCCGAAGATCACCTACTCCATTGAACACATGGACGGCAATTCCAGCGGCAATCAGTTTATATTAACCGAGAACACGGGCACTTTTACTATAACGCAGTCGGCTTCCAGCTTATCCAAAATTGAGGCTGATGAAGCGGCCACCAGTGGCGCTGAAGTAGACCTCGGAGACGATGACGTGGATGCAGACATTGCTGAGGATTCTGAGGAGCACGAGTCACAAATGATTGAGGAAGAGTTCGCACAAACCGATCCTCTTATGGAACTGGAAACGGGTACTGAAATGGACGACGATGACGACGTGCACGACCAGCTTGTGGACGAGGAAATAGACGTAAAGCCCCGCAAGATGGGCGTGGGAAAGACGCGAATCCGTCGGCCCATAAGTGCGAAGCCTGTCAAACGATTGCCCGATTGTAAACCAACGCGACTACAGCAGTTCGCGGCGCTCAAACGGGATGTAAAAGACGATATAAACGATGCTTTGGATCTGGCGGCTGACGCGGTTATCATCGAGGGCTTAAGCCTACAAAAGGCCGCCGACCGGTTTGACATCTCCAAGACAGTCCTGTGGCGGCGCGTGCGCACTAATCCCGCCTACATGCGAAACAACCGGGAACGACCATCGCTGCTAGAGGCCTACGAGCGGCTGAAGAATGGAGACTCTTTGAAGAGTATCAGCACGGAGTTGCAAATCCCCATGTCCACGTTGCACCGACACAAGGTTCGTCTGTCCGCCCAGGGACGCCTGCCCAATTTCGTGTCCTGCCGAAAGCGGGACACCACGCCCAAGGATGAGCTGCGCGACAAATTAGCCAAGGCGGTGCATGCCTGCCTACATGAAGGCATGTCCCAAAATCACGCGGCCAACCTCTTCGAGATACCCAAGAGCACGCTCTGGAGACACCTGCAGCGACGCACGACGAGCCAGAACAGAAAGGTCAAGAAGGAATTGAAAGTCGAGTACGGAGAAGATATGCTAAACTAGAAATAAGCCCTCGGAGTTCTGATGTTACAGACGTTCAGCTGGAATCAATAAGTTACCTTAAGAAGCCATAAGCATACCGATTAACTGCATGTTGTCCCATCAATGCACATCAACCATTTGCCCTAGGTCCTGATAAAACCAAAACAGAATCCGGAAGAGCAGAAAGAGATGCTATACTAGAGTTAGTTCTGTAGACATAGCTCTATATGTAGATACCATTATCTATTTTAAGTACATCTGCTCTTTTATTGTTTACTTCATCGTAATTGGTTAATTAAAAACAACCAAAAATTAATACTTGATTTTAATGGGTACAATTTATAACGACATGAGAGAAATCCAATCAAAATGCAGGTACTCTTCTCCAGCAAGCGTATAAAAATATCGATATTTTCACCGATTCTTCACATCTCTAGCGCAATCTTTTCCCGGAATGAAGACTCCAACTGCGTGGTCTAGTGATGTCCAGGCTACCAGATCGAACTTTGCTTACCCGCTGCGAGATTTTTGTCTACTTCGGCGTTTATATAGTGTATATAGTTGTGGGCTTGTACAAGATCTATGGACTACGGGATCATATTGCCAAGGAGGCAAAGTTTCAGTTTCCGGAGGGCTGGAGTTTCTATCCTTTGTCGCAGCGGCATCGGGATGACAGCAACGACGAGCTGGAGAACTTTGGAGACTTTATCGTCAGCTTTTGGCCCTTCTACTTGCTGCATGCGGGCGTCCAAGGAGTCATACGCTGGAAATGTCCGCGCCTTCAGTGTCTGGGATTCATCGGCGTCTGTGCCCTGGCTCTTAGTGTAAATCTAGACTGGTCATCGATGGTACTACTAGGCACACTGATAGTCAGCTACTACCTCGTTTCCCTGCTCACACTAAAGTACCTTGTGTGGCTCTTGTCCGCCGGTTGGATACTGTGCATCAATGTGATGCAGAAAAATGGCTGGTGGACAAATCGCGTTGGTTACACGGAATACGTTCTGATGATTGTCACCATGTCCTGGAGTGTGCTTCGTGGCTGCAGCTATTCTCTGTCCAGGATGGGGGCTAAACAGGAGGATCTAAGGAGATACAGCCTCATTCAGTATCTGGGCTACGCCATGTACTTTCCCTGTCTGACCTATGGGCCGATCATCAGCTACCAGAGGTTCGCAGCGCGGAGGGACGATGAAAAGCAGAACTGGCTGGGATTTGTCGGAGGAGTCCTGCGCAGCGCCATATGGTGGTTGGTTATGCAGTGCGCCCTCCATTATTTCTACATACATTACATGTCGCGGGATGTGCGCATGGTGGAGATGATGGACTCGGTCTTTTGGCAGCACTCCGCCGGCTACTTCATGGGCCAGTTCTTTTTCCTGTACTACGCGGTGACATACGGATTGGGAATAGCTTTTGCTGTGCAGGATGGAATCCCAGCGCCCAATAGACCTCGTTGCATCGGACGCATCCACTTCTACTCGGACATGTGGAAATACTTCGATGAGGGCCTGTACGAATTCCTTTTTCAGAACATTTACGCAGAGCTGTGTAGCAAGCGATCTTCGGCAGCGGCCAAGTTCGGCGCCACCGCCTGGACTTTCGCCTTTGTGTTCGTCTGGCATGGATGCTACACCTATGTGCTCATCTGGAGCATTCTGAACTTCCTCTGCCTGGCAGCAGAGAAGGTGTTTAAGACGTTTACCTCGATGCCGGAGTACCAGCGATGGACACAGCGTCATCTGGGAGCCGTGGGTGCTCAGCGGTTGTACGCCATGCTGGCCACCCAGCTCTTTATTCCGGCGGCCTTCTCAAATGTCTACTTTATCGGTGGACAGGAGATTGGTGACTTCCTGATGCGCGGCGCCTACCTCAGTGGAGTGGGCAACTACTTGGCCCTGTGCTTCTGCAGCTATTGTTTTTTTCAATGCTCTGAGTTGCTCCTAACCAAGTCGGATGGTCGCTCCAAGTCAAAAACTTATTAACCTCGCCAAAAGTCTGTATAGATTTACGTAAAAACTGACTACTTATGAACAAAGTTGTATTACAACATGGCTTTAGAATTAAGTTATTACAAAACAATTGTTTACTTAATTTTCACTTTAATAATTAAAAAAAACATATTCATAGAATATACAGGAGCTTTCAATAAACTCTTCTCCAGTATCCTTCTAGTCCAGCCACCTGGTTTGCGTACAAGTGGACTGAAAGTTGTCGGGGAAGAGTTCATCCATTATTTCGTCGCAGGTCTGGGTGTGCTGCGTGTTGTACAGACCATCTGGCCAGTGGGTTTGGGTTTGAATGTGGGACAGTCCCAGTTCCTCGAACAATTCGTCGCAGGTCTGGGTGTACATGTGGGCGAAGGTTTGTAAGTCAAACATAGGTTCAGTTCCTGGATACGCGGGGAAATGGTTTTCGACCGGAACAGGCTCTTGTTCCTCTGCGAAATCGTCGGTCATCGTTCCTATATCGCCTCTGGTGTCGGGCGTTTGGGTTTCTATATCGCGCAACAAGGGCGCCAGCACTTCGTTCCTTATTTCATTCAGATCGTCCTCCTCCGTTTGTGTTTCCATATCCAGTTTCTGGGATGACATCTCTAGCGCATAAGGCACATCCATAATGGGCAGAAAACAAAGAATATGTTCCTCTGGAGCCGGTATATCAGTGGCTAGCTCCAGTGTGGAGGGGATATGGGCTTCTGGATTGACTATTCCAGCAGATACTTCTGTAACCTCCGCCAAACTGGATGGCAGATTGTTCATATACTCCTCTGAAGGAGTTAAATCACTGCCTGCTTTCAAACTGTAGGAGGTGAAGGAATCTGTAGGAACCGGAATTGGCTCTGGGTTCAGCTTCCTCCATATGGCCAGCGAGGGAATGGGAACCTTGCCGGATTCATGCTGCACCAGGTGCTTCTTGCGCCGCATGTGAGTCCGTAGGCCAGCCTTGCTGTTGTAGGTCAGTTCACACACGGGACACTTGTGTTCTGAGCACTGATGCTTCTCCAGATGGTGTTGCAGCAGGAATTTCTGGCCGCACTCCTGGCACTTGTGGTTCTTGTCTAGGTGGCTCTTCTGGTAGTGCTGTCGCAGCAGTCGTAAGCTGGTGAAGCTGCGGGCTCCCTTGGTGGTCACATGGTAGATGCACTTTTCCACCGGGCAATGGAAGGCAATGATTGCTCCAATATGCGCGGGTGGGATCACCTCCTGGTGCCGCTGGCGCAGGTGAAGTTGGTAGTGACTGAGGTTGCCAAAAACCAGGCCGGGACATTTCTCGCACCTGTGCTCCCGCACGGGCATTAACTCGCGAATATCCGGCGTGTGTTTTTCGCAGTGCATGTCGATGACAGCTCTGTTGTTTTTAAACAATAAACAGTACGCAATCGATACAATATCAATCGAAATCTATCGATTACCTTACTCCGGTATTTCTGAACAATACCTGTAGCGGTCACTCTGCCACGAGAAATTTATTATTATAACGTATCGCTCTCGGTTGCAAAATACGAGGTAACGGTCGCCTTCGAAAGAATATTTGTGCAGGTTCGACAAGCTAATAATAACAACCAAATACGGCCAGAAAAAAAAAAACGGTCTAAAACTTATTTAGATAAAACTCAAAATCAAATTAAAGTGGGCCCTTGTGTGTGCACTTATACTCATACCGAGATGTACATACCTACGTGTGCGTGCGAATAAAAGTACATTATAATTAAGCGCAAATAAAATCGTGCTATTTTTCTGTGGTTATATGTGTTATATGGTGCAATCTATGGCATGGCGAAGTGTGATAATATCAAGATATTTAATTACCATCGAATGCAACAAGCAGCTCCAACTGAGCAATCCAATCCACCCACACCAACACACACACCTGTAAACTCATTGGCTTTTGCTCTTGTGTTTGCCACGCCCCCCGCGTCCTTGCCGCCCACAGAAGTGGTTATTTTTGGCGCGACTACGTCATCTGTGGCATCTGATTCGGCCGAAAACATCTGGCAGTGCGAAAGATATTGTGTAGAATACACATCATCCAAAGCAACTTCATCATCATCATGATCATCAGTGAATGGCGGGCTGGGTTTTCAATTCGGTTCCGTTCCAAAAAGCGATCTTAAAAGGGCGTCTCCAAGGTCGTCCAAACTCAAATCCAGTTCTATCTACAAAGAGTGTTTACATTCCATGGTAATTGTGCGCAATTTCACCACAATTTACCTACAAAATGTCTTCAATTAATCCATTTTCTGGTTTACCCGCAATCGTAGTTGGGTTTACGTTATTTTGTTGGATAAATACGCCTCGTGGGCCTAAAGTTCGATTCATGATTTAGGCATACGGCAGAGAAGTAAACGAAAATGCTGCCTGAAATTAACACAAAGGCTAAAATTAAATACATATTAAGGCGTTTTTTAAATCTCTTCTGATCGCTTCGAGTGGCAGACCTTGTACGCACAGACGTACACAGCTGAATATTCTAATTTATTGTATACTCTTCTAAAAAGAAGCATCAATTTGGTAGGAAGGTTGCTCTGTACACGTTGCTCGGCTTTTTGGATATTTTCGAAATTGTTTTCGACTATGTAAATAAGCGGCATATGACGATGGGACAAAGAGGGGGGATTATCTTATCTGTTTATAAGATCGGTTTGTTTGGGTATTATTCAGCATTAGGCTTTGCAGTCTTTATTCATTTATAAAGCTCTTTATCCCATTTTTCATCCCAGCTGCATTCCTTATTAAAATTTGATAAGATAGTCAGGAAAAACAAGTTAAACCTCGACTGCCGACATATATTAACTATTTTAACTACCAAAGGGAATTAGTTGGTGTCAGCACTAAACTCTGTGAGTTTAAGATCGCTTGGTCCAAAATCGCCAGACTATCGCATGTTGAAAGCGAAGATTCATACGAGCTGAGAAGATAATGAATGCCTGAAAGCATGATGTAATCGCTGCGGTTGCACATAGGATGGATTTATGGGGGGATGGATTTCTAGTGTCTCAAAGTTTCAATTTATTTTCCAATTAATGCCAGCCGCCGCATTTAACTGGTTTCAATGCCTATGGCAATCTCTGGGAATTCGACTGGTAAATGGGCGAGTTTAAGTAGAACCTGGACGCCAGCGGATGCTAATTGCATTAACGAATTTGCTTCGATCGAGTGTAAACCAAATCGAAGCCGATTCAGCTGAGATCAATGCATATCGCCCACATACGTCATCGTACTCGTATATCTGAAGTATCTGTGGATATTTCCGCCAAGTGCAGCAGGTTTTAGCCGTTCGTTGGCGTTCTGGCCAAGACCAACACATCTGGTTATCTGACTTGGCCATATCTACTTCCGCCTGGCCTGCAGCTATGTGCTTCAGATATCTATGTATATCTGTGTGCAGTAGCTCCCTGAACGAATGGTGAAAGTTGGCGCAGTTTGGAATTGGATGAGGGGCAGGTCATTATACTCCAGGTCCAAAAGTTGAGCGCCTGTCGTCTGATCGTCAGACATGTAAAAACGATTGCTCAATTGCTTTGGCAATTGTCGTCATACGAATACAATTGCCATATCTTATCCGAATTTCCACCGAAAACTCCGATTGTTGCTCCCAGTTTTGCATGTCTACTGACAATCCCTTTATGGAATTTCAATTGGTAATTGCTTTGGGACCGCCAGCAGATTCTTTAGCTCGGTTGCTACACGGAAAACGAATATTTCGACGAGATTTTATTGAATAACTATTAGGCTTCCTGATTTGTATACTGTGATTTAAGCTTATGCCCAGTTTATACCTTTCTTAGTTTTAGCCTTATCATTAGGTTTAAATCGATTATAGCTTGATTCCGCATAGGGTATATGCATGTGAAGCATGTTTTGAGATCTCTCTATGCGGATTTGCTCCCCAATAGATTCGAATGCGTGCCAAATGAGCGAAAGTGACTCATGGCGCCGTGGATGGATGGGAATGAGATTCTGACCATTGGGCTCTGTGCTATTTTAAGCGTCCATTTTTTTTAATTAACTTAGTTCTTGTTGTTTACCTTTCTGAATGTGTAACATTCAGTTTGATTTTTGCACATTTTATCAGCAATTCGCTAAAAACGGATTTGATTTTGATTTTATAACTTATACAATCTTCACGTCATATCTACATACATACATGTGTACATTACGCCAGGAATGTACATATATGTAGCCACATAAACAAAAAGCAAAGGCAATTTCTTATTGCGTAAATAGCTGTGGAATTGTTTTTAAGCGCGGAACTCCCAACGGGCTTGCTGCTGATAATAAAAATAAAACGATAAAAAGCCAAAAAAAAGGATAAGAAAATTGATTAAATTAAAATTTGATTAAAGTTGCTTTTAAAATGTGAATGCCTTATTCAAATTTAAATTGTAGCCGTTTTTATTAACCATCAATGGGTTTTCCTTGCAGATTTTTAACCGCCAAGTGCATTTACTAGCCTAGCAATATGAGTAAACCTGGCAGTGCTCCTCCGCAGTTCACCTATGTGCCGCCCCCTTCGGCCCCGCCCTCTTACCAGGAGGCGGTGGGCGGGGTGAAACCCGTGGGTCCATATACGCCAGTGGTGGCGCCCGCAACCAACGCAAATACCACAATTGTGACCACGGTTGTGCCCATTAGTCGCACTTCGACGCACATGATCTGTCCATCGTGCCATGCCGAGATCGAGACGACCACGCGCACCGAGCCCGGAATGATTGCCTACTTGTCCGGATTTTTGATTGCCCTGTTCGGGTGAGTTTTGACTGAGTTTCTGCTTTCCGAAGGACATCCAACTAATGCGATTTTTCCATTCTTAGTTGCTGGCTGGGATGCTGCCTAATACCTTGCTGCATCGACGACTGCATGGATGTGCATCACTCGTGCCCCAACTGCCGCGCATATTTGGGGCGATACCGTCGATAGGATCGATTGAATGAGCAGGTCCAGCGGTTCCGTGGTGTAGATTGATTACTTTAAGCAAGCGTTTTTGCCTTTATTTATTTAATTGTAGTAATGTCATTTGGATTCCACAGCGAAGGCAGATGGAAAGAGCCAAGGCTTCCCTTAATCTAACGCTAACTCGCTAAATTGCTCCGCCGTTTTTCATTTTGGTTCGCAAAATCCTTAATTGTTTCGTGTATGTTTCTGCCACGCTAAAGATAGTAATACATTAAAATATCCAGCGCTTCGCAGACAGGACAGCCACTACAAAAACTTAAATAATAAATCCGCCTTTCTACGTACCCATATATGTATGTACTACCCTGATTACGAGCACAAAAGTCGCTTGTACGTCCATTTTGAAGAACAGGCCCTTTAATATTTGCACAAATTGTAAATCTTTTGAAGACCATCTTAGGTTTTTCGCACATTGTTTGATGAATAAATGGCTTAGAATGTAGTCAAAAAGACAAAATACAACATATTTTTGTAACAAAACGTAAATGTCTTCAGCAAAAGTGCATATTGTGCATACTATGGAAGTTAATCTCCCTAATAATTAATCATGAAATCTATATAATTGACTCTTCATTTTTAAATAAACTGGAAAATGTCACCAAAGATATCAAGTGTTTTGTTTATAATACTGAATACCTAAAATATTTGGAAATATTATATAGAAAAAATAAATTAATTAAAAACGGCCCCTGTGCCAAATTCCACCGTTCCTATATCGGCCCTAATTTGACACAGATTCAAAAGTGTACTATTTCCCCTGCACCAGTGTTGAAAAACAGAATTTTGTCGGCAACTTTAAAATGATCCCTTAAATATTTCGAAAACTTTGTTCCTGCGAAGCAAAAAATAGGTAAATAAAGGGAAATAATATTATAATATTTTTTTAAGCCGAAATGGCACCCACAAACAAATTTTAATTCAAATAATTTATTGAATACAATAAAGTAGCGTATGAGTTTCGTTTGTAAACTGTTTTCATTTTAAATATTATGTTCTAAAATATTTGACTTTGTACAAAATATATTCTATTCATATATGCCGAAAATTGTTCCTCCATTGCACACTCCGATTTTTTGAATTTTTTTTTCACTCTTGCTTGTCGCATGCTGAATGTTTAATTTTAAATTGAAGATTTAATATATGTAGTTGTGGTGCATGTGCTTAATCCGATATATTTCGATATGATTAAACAATATCTAGGCGAGAACTTTACATACAAATCGAGTTCGGTGGATTGTCAAGGGATGAGGGCGCGAGGACTGGTGAAATAAGAATATATGCGTGGAAATAAAACTAATTTGCAAAGGCCGTTTATTATATATAAAAAGCTGGCAACTCAAATATCAAAGCGAATCTGTAAATCCGTTTAAATGATTAATTAACAACTAACTTAGGAGTGTATGACAAAAGCATTTTGCATTCCAATGGCAGCGCCAGGAACGGGGACTTAAAACTAAAAAAATGTTTTGGGTAGGGAGAGGCGGTACAAAGGAATATTGGCTGGTACAAAACGAGGAAGAATCATCGCTGACAATATTAAGAGCTAAATTAAGTCTATGACCTATTTATTTACTTAAATACGCTTGACGCCACAGAGCCACCGTCGTTAAATCATCACCGCCGCCGTCAAGCATCATTGCAATCACTTTAGCATCATCGTCCTTATTACTTTGAGGAGTGAGTTTCGTTTACCATCTCTGCATCTCTCGTATTTGATCATTGTCCTTGTCTAAGCTGAGGAAGGTCCCACAGGATCGTCACCCTTCACGGCCGACGCATAGGAGCCACTTGGTTTGTCACCACCACCGGAAACAGAAACAGACGATTTGCCATCACTGCCACTTCCACCAGTGCCTGCTCCGACTGCACCAGCACTGCTCGGCGGAACTCCAGCTGCTCCGCCAATGCTCACACCACTGTTCAGGCCTAGAGTTTGAGGTGAATCAACTAGAGAATTTGTTTCGATTGTGGGTTTGGTTGGGATGTGTGTAAGTGTGAAGTGTGTGCGAGAAGCGAACAGTTAAGCACCTTTGATATCCATGGCATAGTGATCCTCCAGCCGCAGGTCGTGCCTCTTTATTAGCTGACACTCTGCGCCCTCGACGGTGGGAATGGAGTACACGTACAAGTACCCATCCTGCGAGGCAATCAGCAGTCTGCAAAGGCAACCGAAAGAAGGGTTAGATATAACTTCATATTGAACCGAGGATAATCCATTTTCAGTTCAATTTGCTTTCATTTTCACTCACAATTTAATATTATAAACAACATAATATTAACTTAGTTACTCTTGCAAAGACTTTTTTCATCTCTGTATATTTAACTACATTTCAACGGGATATTAACCGAAGAAGATAAAGTAGGTAGGATAAATACTTTCTCAGATCAAGGGCATTGGTTTCCAAAACTCATAAACCCCACCTAAGGTATTCAGCTTGAATAGAATGGAAATTTGTGGAATTCCTTCCCAGCTAGGTAGAATTTTATGACTGTTTTTCTTTGCAAATTGAACTGAATATGGAACGACGATCAGAGACTCACCTCAGCTGCTTTTGTATCGTAGTAATGGCGCACATCCTGCGCACTCCCGCCTCCGGCAAAGTGACCGAAGCGAAGGCACGGCCTTGGCTAAACACGTCGGTCACCTGCGTGGGCAGGTAGCTGGTGACCGTTTTGCTCAAGAATCTAAAAAACGAGTAACTTGCATGAGAGAGTAGATTTGGTGAGTGGTTGAGTTGTTGTTGTTGAGGTGGTTGGTTGGTACGTGTTTGGTGGATTCGCAAAATGAAAGAAAAGAAAAATAGATAAATGTCAAGTGCCACACGAGAAATAGGAGAAAAATCAAAAATTCATAAGTCCTACGCAAAAAAGATACTTTGATCTGTGCCCGATTTCAAAATCGCTGTTTAGGATTATGGTGGCTATTCTGTATTGGCATTTTCGTTCTCTTGCTTGACTGATTTGATTTTAGACACAAGGCATTTGGTGTAAAAACGGGTTCGTTTAAAAAAGTTTGAAATGAGAGGACAAATTTACATATGAATGAGTCCGTTTGGTTAATGAAAATAATAGTTGAAATGCATCCAGAACAATTGTAATATTACTATACCAAATGCGAACAAAATTCTTTGAATTGAACAGATGTGACATTCAATATTAATAATTTGACGAAAGCCATTGATGATTGCGTATGGGTTTGGTTTCAAACATAGGAGTCGGGAGGTAAAAGCGATTATGTACAGAACACCCACACCTTAATAGTTGACCATAAGTCTTAACTGCATCGAGCAGAAAGTACAACAATCTACAAGAGCTACAAATCCGAATCCAACACCGCTTACCCCATCCAGTCGTCACTCGACTGCTTTCCGCCATGTCCTTCGGCCGTTTCCGTGGCACTGCGATCGAGCCGGAAGATGTGAACCGTCTCAGTGTTGGAGCTGGACACCAGATACTCGGCGCACGTGCTAAACGAGAGCGAAACGATGGACACACAGCGCTTTAATCCCCGTCGCAGTTCAAAGAGGCGACTGCCATCCTGGGAGCTGAAGACTCGGATCACCGTGCCGCGCTCACTGGCGGTGGCTATCTCCGTGCCCGAGGGACTAAAGGCCAAAGCCGCCAGAGGTGTGTCGTGTGCGGGTATCATGGTCTTGGCGTGCAAGTTGATGGCATCAAAGATTTGTACCTCGCCAGCAGTAACGCTACCCGGATAGGCCAGATAGCAGTTCTCCGAGGACGAGGAGAGGGCACAAAGACCCTGCGGATTACAAGGTGTATCGCGTATGGTGTGCACCACCTTCATGTCCTGGATGTTGTGGATATACAATGACTCTTCCAGGCATACAATCAATCGCTCGCGATTGAGCTTCACCGCCAGTATTGTGTTTGCATACGAGTAGTTGCAGATCTCGCTCTGCTTCTTAAAGTGGCACACCTTGAGCTTGCGAGGAGCCCGTTGCGAAACTATAGCCACTAGGGAACTCTCGAACAGGCGCTCAATGAGGAACAGCTCGTCGCTCTTCGTGTGGTAGATCTTGTCCATCGTGGAGTCCACGGAGCCCAGGCTGTACAGACTGTAGCCTCCACTGGTGGCCACGGCCAGGGAACTGAAAGGGTGGAAAATGTGAATGGGTATGCCAGTAATATGTGGAGCAAAAACATTTAATTCGCTTCGAAGAAACTATGACTCATTCAGTGCTAAGTTTATAAACTATTACAAGTCAATATAAATAATAAGTTAACTTTGCCTGACGCAGATAATTACTATTTGTAGAGATAATTATCTAATCGACATTAGCAAAAGTAGAACATATACATATGTATATATAACTGGCAGAATGGCAAACTGTGCGTTTGCGTTCACCGATTCCCTTTAGCGAATGTGCCCTGTAACTTACGTTATATTCTGGTTGAAGTTGACGAAAACTTCGCCCGCATCCACATCGGTGCGCCCGAGCAGGCTCATCATGGTTTCTGTGTGGGAGGGGCTGGGGTCCTGCAACAGATTGGGCGTTAATCGTTAGCTATCATAGTCGACTACTCGGCCAGAGAAATGGCCCGATCTCCCGATTTACCGATGGCGCATTACGGAATGTCGAGTGGCGCAAACAAAGCGTGGGCCAAAGCAATAAATATACATATGTTATTAAATACAATAACAAACTCTGCACGAGTGTGTGTACTTTTTGGGGCTGCTGATAAAAGCAACAACAACAAACAAAACACACACACACACACACTTGCTTGCGAAATGTACATACGTGACTGGGATTCGTTTATTTGTACCTTTTTTAACGGTTACACCTCTGCCTCGGCCTATCAATATTCGCAGGACACCGTTGTTGACTTGTGGTTGGTTTCAAGGTGTATATTTAACTGAATCCACGTAATGTTTAATGATATTTGGATTTCTTGTCGCGCAATTGTTTTTGCTCTGTTTTGCACACACACGTACACACACCAGCTCCCACACAAAGACAAGTTGGACAGCAACAGAGCAGAGCGAGCCAGGGAGTGCGAGTCGAAGGTAGAGTTGCATTCGCCAGTGCTGGAAAGGGCTGCGCCTATTCCTGAGCTGGTTACACTGGAGGAAATCATTCACTTGCCTTCAAGATTCGCATTTACCACCGAGCTAACAAAGTAACGAAACTGGTGTCATTTCCATATTGTGACTAATATTTAAACTATAAATAACCATATAGATAATTTTCATACTCGACGTCAAAAAAAGCAAATGATAAAATATATTACTGGAAAAGTAAAATAAAACAAGAATAACTTTGAAATCAAATATCAGATAGTAGCACGTTTTATAGGGAACCACAGAGCTTGAGCACGAACCAGCAGCGTCTGCATCCCTGGCTAGGTGTTCAGTGCTTGCCAGCCCTGGTTACGTCTGGTTCACCAAAAAAAAAATAAAATTACATTTCAATCTTTCCAATATGCAAATATCTGCGCGCAAACCAGCGAGAACCGAATGCACACACTAGAGAACCCCAGCATAATGTGACTTGTGTTCGCGCAGAGTGACGTTTCGTGCCTTGCCCGAGTGCCAAAACCAAATCCAAATCCAGACGCACAAAATCGATGCAGATGCTGTCTGCATCGCTCGCACATTCTCATAGAAAGTGCAACTGAATCCGATGGTCGACAGAAGCCACGATGCCCAGCAATAGAAACCGTGTAAATGGCCAGTGAATAAACAATAAAGACTTGCACATCGAAAAATGCAGACAAACTATAACCGAAGCAATAACAAGGTGCTCAAATCGGACCAAAACAAGTACATGCAAACGGTCGAGGAGGCCGATTTGTATTGACGTTGTTAAAGTGAAGCTGATTACACAAAAGATCCTCAGAACGATTTTATGTAAGTATGTAAACAGAGGCGGACAGGCCCACCTTGGGTCGCAATCACAATCTCCTGGCATCGGCTTCCCTTGGGCTGATAAGAGCCGAGTGCTTAGTGCTGCTTATCTTTCATCTGCAACCTGGCTGATGTCGCCCGCCGTCTACTTACTACACCACTACTGCCCCCCATTGTCTGTGCCAGCGCGCGTTTTATACCCTGCCAAGGGGTTGCCCGGGTGCAGTACCCCACAGACAGATTATGTATATGCCACCATAGACTAAATATAGTCTCGTGTTCAGTGCCTAGCTGATAGTGAGGTCAAGGCGCTGGCATTCCAATTGGTTGCCAGTGAGAAGGGTATTTAAGCTTCGCTTTCACCACTGTCCCTATCCGATTTTAATTTACTTCGCTTTTGCCTAATCAATGTCAGCACTGTGCGTCGTGATTTGTAGTACCTTTAGCTGGAAGGTACTCCACGCACAGTACTGCTATCGCACTCCCGGTGCTCGGTTCAGTTTTCCGCTCAGTTCTATCCCGTACTTTTCCACGACCACCGATGAAGTTCTACGCGGGAGAAGGGTACGCTATACATTTGTGGATCGGGGATCGCAGTCCAATTGCACTGGGCGGACCTCCGTTTGTTTTGGTTTTTGCGCGGCTTAATTACAATTACATTTTGCATTCATTAAGAATTCCGTGACCAGGTTTCGTGCGACTAGCCAGCACTGTGGGCTCCACTTGGTAGACTCATTCATAAGTCCAGATAACAGCGTTGGCACGTCCAAGTACCTATTTTTAGAGGCTGGTTACCACTGTGCAGTGCGTTCTATTTGACATTAAACTAATGCGATCTTTATCGCGGTGATTTGGCGAAATTGAACGTTTTTCCCACATTTCAACTCTTTACATCTTAATTTTTCACCGCTTGGTGGGATGAAATCATTACTCTTAGATTTCTAAACCTTTATATGATCAATCACTTTTTGAAGTTCAAATAAAGAACTTTTAACTTTATGAAACATTGCTTATCTTATCCGTAACTCTTATTTCTCGCTCAGCCAAGGCCCGAATATGTCCGACGGCGTCAGTATCTTGCACATCAAACAGGAGGTGGACACTCCATCGGCATCCTGCTTCAGTCCTAGCTCCAAGTCAACGGCCACGCAGAGTGGCACAAACGGCCTGAAATCCTCGCCCTCGGTTTCGCCGGAAAGGCAGCTCTGCAGTTCGACGACCTCCCTATCCTGCGATTTGCACAACGTATCCCTCAGCAACGATGGCGATAGTCTGAAGGGAAGTGGTACAAGTGGTGGAAATGGCGGAGGAGGAGGTGGTGGTACGAGTGCTGGAAATGCGAGCAATGCAAGTGCCGGAACAGGATCGGGATCTGTCAGGGATGAGCTTCGTCGATTGTGTTTGGTTTGTGGCGATGTGGCCAGTGGGTTTCACTATGGTGTGGCCAGCTGCGAGGCTTGCAAAGCATTCTTTAAACGCACCATCCAAGGCAACATCGAATACACGTGTCCAGCGAACAATGAGTGCGAGATTAACAAACGGAGACGCAAGGCCTGCCAAGCGTGTCGATTCCAGAAGTGTCTACTAATGGGCATGCTTAAGGTAATTTCATAGTCCAGAGTTGAAGTTCCTAAATCCTAATTACTTTGCCTTTTCAGGAGGGTGTGCGTTTGGATCGAGTTCGTGGAGGGCGGCAGAAGTACCGGAGGAACCCTGTATCAAACTCTTACCAGACTATGCAGCTGCTCTACCAATCCAACACCACCTCGTTGTGCGATGTCAAGATCCTGGAGGTGCTCAACTCCTACGAGCCGGATGCTTTGAGCGTCCAAACGCCGTCGCCCCAAGTGCACACGACTAGCATTACTAATGATGAGGCCTCATCCTCCTCGGGCAGTATAAAGCTGGAGTCCAGCGTTGGAGTCACGCCCAATGGGACTTGCATTTTCCAGAACAACAATAACAATGATCCCAATGAGATACTAAGCGTCCTAAGTGATATTTACGATAAGGAACTAGTCAGCGTCATTGGCTGGGCCAAGCAGATACCTGGATTCATAGATCTGCCTCTTAACGACCAGATGAAGCTGCTACAGGTGTCGTGGGCAGAGATCCTGACTCTCCAACTAACCTTCCGGTCCCTGCCGTTCAATGGCAAGCTATGCTTCGCCACGGATGTCTGGATGGATGAGCATTTGGCCAAGGAGTGCGGTTATACGGAGTTCTACTACCACTGCGTCCAGATTGCACAGCGCATGGAGAGAATATCGCCACGGAGGGAGGAGTACTACTTGCTAAAGGCGCTCCTGCTGGCCAATTGTGACATCCTGCTGGATGATCAGAGTTCCCTGCGCGCATTTCGGGATACGATTCTCAATTCTCTAAACGATGTGGTCTACTTGCTGCGTCATTCTTCGGCTGTGTCACATCAGCAACAATTACTGCTCCTGCTGCCTTCGCTGCGGCAGGCGGATGATATCCTGCGAAGATTTTGGCGGGGAATCGCACGCGATGAAGTCATTACCATGAAGAAACTTTTCCTCGAGATGCTCGAGCCGCTGGCCAGGTGAAAAGGATTATGCGGGTGCCCAATCTAGTTGATCTAGCTGATAAGCAAAGGTGCAAATATAGTCGTAGGTTGGATGTATACTAGAATAGATTAAGCGTAGAATAAGCCATGTATATAGATAGTAAAATACTTGTCGGGTAAGATTAGTTCGCAGAGAAAAAACTCTTTTTAATGGTCTACCAACTACAGCAACTGAAAACCCTACTTATCTCTAGAATCGGGGAGTGCTTACAATGGATGAAGGCGCAGATAGGTGTTATGTGTCTGAAGTTCTGTCACAGTTCTTTAATAATTTGTTCAATTCTCACTGGTTCTGATATATGTATATGCCTAACCTTCTGATGAAACGTGGAAATTTGTTGGCTCTTTTTATATAGGAGAGTTGTATTAATACAATAGATTATACTGTTTCTTAGTGTCATGTAACCCATTCTGTTTCTATGTGGTACACTTGCGGACAGAATAATAGCACTGTACGTCCATAAACAATCAAAGTTTCGTAACTGATGTTTCCATACTCCCTAACCATCTTTATTCTTTGGAGTTTTTTCCCGTCAAGTCCTCATTAGATCAAAAATATGTTTGATTTTACGTTGATTTAGCTGTGTTTGCAACATATTTGGTTTTTATATTAATTAAACTATTTCAAATTAGATTTCCAAAATTCAGTGCTTTACATTTGTTCGCATTTGTACATCCCTTTTCCCAGTTCCCTACATAGGTTGATATATCGCAAAATTAACCATGACAAAGGGTTTTCCGTGGTCCTAAAGGCTTACAATTAGTGCTAACGATGGTCATATTTACATTTGCAGACTAGAGACGTTTCATCATCACCAATACGAGCTAGACCCACTTAGTGCTACGGTGTATGTGTATCAAAGTACTTGTTAGAGCTTTCCTGAAAGCGATCGCTACGCGCCAATTCGTTGCGGAAGTAGGAGATGGTCCGCTGGAGTCCAGTCTCTAGAGGAACCTTTGGCTCCCAGTGGAGGAACTGCCGGGCACGAGTTATGTCCGGTTTTCTGCGCTGCGGATCATCCTCCATGGCCTTTGATTGCTTTATCACACTGGGCCCGCCGACCAGTTGCTTTATGATTTCAGCGAATTCGCCGATTGTCTGCTCCACGGGATTGCCTAAATTAACTGGCTGTGTGTAGTTGGATGCCATTAAGGCTATCATTCCATCCACCAAATCCGAAACATACTGAAAGGAGCGCGTTTGTTTGCCATTTCCATATACCGTAATGGTTTCATTCCTCAGCGCCTGAAGTATAAAGTTCGACACTACTCGTCCATCGTTCATGTGCATCCTGGGTCCATAAGTGTTGAAGATACGCGCCACTCGCACTTGCACCTTCTCCTGCCGATACAGATACAATTAGAAGCAATCAGTTTGAGTGCCATTTGCAGGCAAAGATCGAAAAATATGGTCGGTGCTCGCGCTTGGAAAACTTATCTCGAGACAGTCATCCAAGAGGAACATCAATTAATGGCATTCCAATTTATATCATTTAATGCTCAACTAGCCATCGAAACAGGAAAGATCTGCCATATATCTGGATGCCAGCCAGTTTTTGTTTTTTTATTCACTTGACTTAGGAATGTGGCTTTCCAAAATGGTATTTATACATATATATTGTTAAGGATATTACCTGTTTAGCATACGCATAACTCAGCGTCTCCGAGACACGCTTTCCCTCGTCGTAGCAGGCCCTTGGCCCAATAGGATTTACATGGCCCCAGTACGTTTCCGGCTGCGGATGCACCGTGGGATCGCCGTACACTTCCGAAGTGCTGGCTATCAGAACCTTGGCCATCACGCGCTTGGCCAGGCCTTTTAAAGATATGCTCGTTAGGTATAGTCCTTTCTCGTGATTAAGTTTATAATTATTTACCCAGTACATTTATGGTGCCCATGGTGTTGGTCTTGATGGTCTTCACCGGATTGTACATGTAGTGAGGGGGCGAGGCAGGCGATGCCAAGTGATAGATCTCATCGATCTCGATGAAAAGCGGATTAACTATGTCGTGATGAATGAGCTCGAAGTTCTCGTGACCCAGCCAGTGTTCGACATTTCTCTTGCGTCCCGTAAAGAAATTGTCCACCACGATGACCTCGTGCCCCTGGACCATCAGATTGTCGACCAGATGGGAGCCCACGAAGCCAGCTCCACCGGTAATTAGTATGCGTTTGCGATTCTTGTAGTTCAGATATTTAACCTTCGCATACTTGCGAGGAGTACTGCTCTGGAGGCTACGAATTTGTTCCTCCAATCTGGCCAAATGTTCCCTTGTGCGTTGCAGTTCAGCCTTATGCTCCCGGATAAGAGAGCTCTGCTCCTCGTAGGCTATCTGAAGGCTCCTTTGCAGTGGACTCTCCGTGGGTGGCCATTTGGCCTGCACCTCCTCGCCACCGGAAACAGAAAGCGGGGGCTTGCCGCTTGGAAAAAGGCTGGCCAATCGGTAGAGGTAGACCAGGAGCAGGAGGACCAGCGAGATGGCTGCTACGATCTTCAGGCGCTTCTTGGTGGCGGTCATCGTCGTTCGTGGGTTATGTGTTGCGGGGCTCCAGTGCTTATCAGCAACTGATATCGCCACATTGCATTCTCGTCCGGCTTTGGAAACTATATAAACAATACAATTGCGTTATCAGGGGGTGTCAGAGTGGCCAGGTGGCTTTAGCTGAATCCTTAAATAAAATGATAGCCTAACGCCAGAGAAAAAGCTCCCGCCTAAATTTAAAATTAACTACAAATGCAGCGACAGGCGAACATTTCTATCTTGGATTACGAAATAATTAAATTTCTTGTATTCCGGCGCTTATTCCCTAACGAATATTTTCATTTTTAACGATAAACGTGTCAGCAGGGAGTTGTTTTCCCAACGAAAGCAAGCCTATATAATCTGCGAACCAAGAACATCGATCGGCAGTCGAGCAATAATTTTAATGGCAAATGTTGTAGGGCTCAACATGCGGCTTCCTACGGAGATTTTCTGTACAGTTCTGCTTTTAATTTTTACGAACCACTCAAACGCAGATATTCCAGACTGCAACTACTACGACACGGTCGATATCTCAAATGTTGAAAGACAAAACGATTCGTATTTATACGATGATATCCGAATTCCTGCCAGCCTCACTGGAGACTACGAGTACAAGCAGTATCGCGACCTATCGAGAGAGCCGGTTAAAAAGCATTTAAGGGCCTGCGTCTGCAGCCTGCGGCCCTGCATTCGAATCTGCTGCCCAGCCAAGTACATTTTGGCCAACGGAAAATGCGGTGATGGTCTCCAGGAGGAGCTCGCCCGGTACGAATCCTATATATACCTCACATCCATGAACCTAACGATAGATGAACGAGTACCACTCACCGAGATGACGATCATCAGAGATCACTTCTTGGCTTGTGATGAAATGATGCACCTCACGGATGAATATGACTACTTGGAGGTGAGTCCTTCAATACTTTAATAGTTTGGCCTAACAGTTTGGTTTTAGGATGGAACGCTCCGTATCTCCGATGATCGGTACATTGAAAAACAAGAGTACTGCCTGTATCCATATCAGTTTAATTCGGACTTTCCAAAGTCCATGTGGATAGTAGTGCATCGCTGCACAACTTACTTAACTCCCGGATCCAATGAAAGTAATGAAATTGATTATGATAATTATAATATAATTGAGTTATAGACAGTTGGTAATAACTCCCTTATTGGATTGCAAACTGCTGACTGCAATCTGCGTGTCCCTTGACAGTGCTTACAAATAATAAGCTGGTGTTATATTTTTATATTTTCTGTTGCAGTCCTAACGATATCACTGATATGCTATATTCTGACAATCGCCGTATATCTATACATCACGAAGCTGCGTAATGTGACTGGCAAGTGCATTATATCCAGCATCATTTCAAGGTTTATCCAGTTTTTGATCTGGTTACTAGATAATATTGGGGTATTGAACGGCATCTGCTCTCCGGCTGGTTAGTTATTGAATTCACATACGGGGGTGAAAGATTATTAAAAGTGATACCTTTGACTTCTCGCAGGTTACAGCTTGTACTTTTTCAGGTTGGCTTCCAATATCTGGCTCTTCGTCGTCAGCTACCATGTGTGGAAACGCTTGACGTCGCTCAGTCGAGACGATCCTACTTGTCGGTTCCAGCTGTACAGTGCCTTCGTCTGGACTACAGCCGCTTTAATGACAGGAATTAATTATATGGTTAATCTGATGTGGGAAAACGATCTCAGTAAGTGGAACTGGCTGCCTTTGGTCGGTTTCATTAAATGCTCGGTCAAAGGTAAACTTTCGAAGCGCCATCTTTTAAACCGTTACCAAGGTAACGTATTCTTTTCTATATAGAAACAGAATCCGGCTGGGTGTACATAAGTGGACCGTCGCTGGTTCTAAGCACTTTCAATGTCGCAATGTTCACAATGGCAGCCATTTACATCCGGAAAGTAAAAGGGGACATAAAGAAGTTCGCATACGAGGAGGAGGAGGAGGAGGGCAGGATAGGCTGCATCAACTTCGACAGCCAGACGTGAGTAATGCGTGATAAGTTTGGAACTCGGTAACCTAGTTATCCTTGCCGTATTATCAACACAGCTACCTGCGGTTTCTGCGACTGTCCGTCGTGATGGGCCTAACTTGGACCTTAAATGACATTCCGCAATCTGCGAGGTTGAACATCGTCTGGCGGCGGATCATGAATATAACCGACTATTATCACTGCGCGTTTGGAATAGTCATTTTCATTCTGCTTGTGCTGAAGCGCAGTACATTGACTCTATTAATGGAGTCTTAGGTTTTTAGCTCGTCTTCTCTAATATTAATTTTTAATAATTGCTCTGCTGTATTTTCTGTAAAAGAGAAATTCGTCTAATTTCTTCGGATAAACAAAAAAGTTGTGAACAATATAAGGAAGCATAAACTTTTAATTCTATTAGTCTTCTTTATTGCTTAATATTTATATGTTTTTTGTTGTTTTTCAAAGCAACAAACTTTAAACTGCCAATCGGTTCCCGCTACAAGCTCTCCACTTCGCCAGCCTCTGGTCACACTGTTTCCCGAGCCAGTTTCGATTCGTTTAAGAACATCGATAAGTATCGCTAAAAAAAAATCAGCTGCTCTGCTTGTAGTTTTGCGATTTCATTGCAATTTTATTTTTGCTATACTATTCAAAGAGAAATACAGCGGAAAACATGCCGAACGAGAACGCAGAGGACCATTCGGGTCAAGAGCTGAAGCAGAAGGCCAAGGAGGTGGCCGGCGCATCGGAGGCAATGCTCGAGAAGGTTGTTGCCGGCTTAAAGATCCAGGACACGGCATCGACAAATACAGCCGGAAACGAGAATGCGGAGCAGGCTGACGGTGCTAAGAATGAGGCTTCAGTGTCCGCGGATGCAAGTAAGTTTTCGATATGACAGTAAAAACCCAGTTGGAAGCTCCTCCTTCGGTTGAAAAAATGAGGTTAGGTTTTGTCGTGAACTACAGTCCAGCCTCTCTAACTCGAACTTGCAAGTGCTATATGTATGCACATATGTGCGTAAACGGACTCTCCGCTTTCTAAATTCCAAGTAATTGAACGATTACTTTAAAGATTACCTATGAATCATTGTTAATATGATATTTTTATATGATATTACAAATGTGATATTTGAAATGAAATGTTGATTTCATTGATTGATGCGTTATTGAAATCCCAAATTTGGCGTCTTGCTGTCAATTGTTAAGCATTGGAAACTAGCTCACTATCATATTGCCTTTACCTTTTAATGAGACAAATTTGACATTCGAGAAGTGTTATACTACTAGCTCATTTAGCTGCCAATAACATCGCTACTTCGTTTCTTTCAGGCAAACAGGCTTTGCTACAAGCCGTTTCCGACGCTATGGCCAGCACCCGCCAGATGGCCAAGAAGTTTGCATTTTGGTCCACACAGCCAGTCACCAAGCTGGACGAGCAGGTGACCACCAACGAATGCATTGAACCGAACAAGGAAGTTAGTGAGATTAGACCAGAGCCATACACTCTGCCAGGCGGCTTCAAGTGGGTGACACTGGACCTGAACGACGCCAAAGATCTCAAGGAGCTGTACACGCTGCTCAACGAGAACTACGTGGAGGATGATGATGCCATGTTCCGTTTCGATTACCAGCCCGAGTTCCTTAAGTGGTCGCTGCAGCCGCCTGGCTGGAAACGCGATTGGCATGTGGGCGTTCGTGTTGAGAAGTCCGGCAAACTGGTTGGCTTCATTTCGGCGATTCCCAGCAAGCTGAAGTCGTACGACAAGGTGCTGAAGGTAGTGGACATCAACTTCCTATGCGTCCACAAGAAGTTGCGCAGCAAACGGGTGGCTCCAGTCCTCATTCGGGAGATAACGCGTCGCGTCAATCTGACAGGGATATTCCAGGCGGCTTATACAGCTGGAGTAGTATTGCCCACGCCGGTGGCCGCCTGTCGCTATTGGCATCGATCCCTCAATCCCAAGAAACTGGTAGACGTGCGCTTCTCGCATCTCGCACGTAACATGACCATGCAGCGGACAATGAAGCTGTACAAGCTGCCCGATCAGCCCAAGACAAAGGGCTATCGCCGGATTACGGCGAAGGACATGGATAAGGCCCACAAGCTGCTGGAGGACTACCTAAAGCGTTTTCAGCTGAGCCCGGTGTTCAGCAAGGAGGAGTTTCGTCATTGGTTTACGCCCAAGGAAGGTATTATCGACTGCTTTGTGGTGGCCGACGAAAAGGGCAACATCACTGATTTGACCAGCTACTATTGCCTGCCATCGTCTGTGATGCATCACCCGGTGCACAAGACCGTTCGTGCCGCCTATTCGTTCTATAATGTGTCTACAAAGACCCCGTGGTTGGACTTGATGAACGATGCACTGATCTCGGCACGCAATGTCCAGATGGACGTGTACAATGCCCTCGATCTCATGGAGAACAAAAAGTACTTTGCGCCACTAAAGTTCGGCGCCGGGGATGGAAACCTGCAGTACTATCTTTACAACTGGCGTTGTCCATCGATGCAGCCGGAGGAGATTGCTCTGATACTCATGTAGTCGCCTCATCACCTAAGCTCACATTCTCGCCCTGCCTTTCACAGCTACCCTCCTCCGCTTTCTTCACCCTGCTGGAAGTGCCGTGCGGCTGCTTTGCTTGGCTCCTATTTACGTAGCTATTACCTGTAATCTTCAGTTATTCCAGCGAGGAAAGCCCTTTGCGAGTCATACACCTAAATAGCATCATTGTGAAAATTGCATTTTGCAACGGCCAAGCTTCGATATTTTTTACCACAAAAACGAACACAAATTGTATAAAATGCGCAGCAATATCAATAAAAATCTAATGATTATTTGTACCTTTATTGCCTATAACTGACAATTAATTATTTTTCGGCTCTTTTTAAGATAACAAGATTTTATGAATATTTCAAAATATTGTAATATTAAAATAAGAATTTTTTAACGAAAAGTTCATAGTTTTTAATTTTTTTAAAACAGATTCTTGTATTTTTTCCACTGTCCCAGCAGGCGATAGTCTGGCAACTCTGCCACATAGCCACCGGTCTGGGAAGACCGATGAAAAAGCGCGCGCTAAGCGAAAACAGCTGCACTTGTGTTGGTTTGTTAACGAAATCTGGTTGAAATGTTTGTACCTCATATTACTAATATTTAAAGACGTCGACATGGACGATTCGGTGTTCAAGCTGAAATACCAAAAATACAAGTTGCGCGTCAAGTTGTGGGAGAAAGACTTCAAGAAGCAGAATGGCCGTGTTCCATCAAAGGTGAGATTCAAAGGAGGGATGCGGATGTGACAAGAATACTAACTGATTGGCCTGTTGCAGTATGATATTAGGGAGGCCAGTCAGGAGATTCGCGACTCCTACAAAATGTACTACAAGCTGAAGACATCCTTCCTGGAGGAGACGCTGAACGATGTGCTCAGCGAAGATGGATACGATATCCTGGAGATGTCGCAGGCCAGTGATTTGGGTGTGAGCATGCTGGATCAGGACCTCAGCCTTAATGGAGGTCCTCAGCTGCCCATGGATATATCTGCGCTGGTGGAGCCACAGAGCTCTGCTAATATGGAGGAGACTCCACAGTCGGCGGAAAGCTCGTTCTCTAATCTCCACGACCTGCCCAATCGACAAGTACTCACCAATCTGGTCAATCGCGATGAAAACCATGTCATTCGTAAATTCGAGGCGGTGGAGGAGCTGCCAATCAACAGAAATGCCTGGGGCACGAATGTGAGTAAGAAGCCAGCAGCTCTACCACAGCCTCTAGAGTCCTCCAACTCAGTTCCGATACAGGGAAAGCAACCTAAAGCGGTTAGTCTTAAGCCCAGCCTGAGTGCCAAGTTGTTCCAATCCACGCGCGGATTTGCTAAACGGAACCCTCGAAAGCCGCTCTCACGTAGTGTCAGTTCCTCTAGTACCAGCTCTTTACTTAGCTCAGTTCCCGCTGATCACCAGGAGGAACTGCCCGACTTTGAGACCATACTCATACGCAAAGCCCAGGAGTACAAGGAGAAGGAGCAGTCCTTAGCTAACAATCCAATGCTGGCCGGTGATCACAGCAAGGAAAGTATCAAAACCCTTGTGGACGACGGCTGGCTTCAGCGAAATACCAAGGAGAACACTCTTGAGGAAGAGCAGCCCTTTCCGGAAGCCAATAATAACAGTGGTCCGTCCAAGAAAGCAAATTTTGGCCTGGCCAATCTTGATTTAAGCAAACTAAAGCCAACGATTAAGGAGGAACAGGTGGTGCTGGCCGAACCCGAAGAAGTGCCAAGCACACAGGATCTGCAAACAGATAAGACTGCTACCATGAACCAGAAACCAGCACATCTTAGTCACACACCTCCTGCAATCAGCCAAAAATCAGTTGCTCCTAAAAATAAACCTCGACCTGTCGAGCAGGAAACCGAGTCGGACTCTGACTCTGTTGTGGCAGAGAGTGAAGAGGAGCCGGAGCCACAGGAGTATCGGCAACTGGCTAAACGCCGCAAAATTGTTTCAACAGCAGGAGCAGTGGAAGTAGCCGCTTCAGTTGAAATTCCCAAGAAAGTCGACCCAGGGACAGAACGTTTTACTCAAGAAAACTCAGACGATGAATGTGGTATGGATTTCTCGGCCGATGAAGAACAGGATGCCACATATGTACCAGAGAAACAAAAGAAAGATAAGGCAAAGCGCAAACAAGCCGCCGGAAAACAAAAGACCACTAAGGCTAAAGCGGAACCAAAACCGAAACCTGAAAAGAAACCCAAAGTCAAGGGCGAAAAGAAACCCAAGGCGGAGAAGAAGCCCAGAAACTCTAAAAGAGTCATTGCTGCCGAGCCGGCTCATGATCCAGAAGAGGATGAGGGCCAACCATTGAATCCAGAAGATCTGAAATACGTGCTGGCCTTGGAGGCGGGAGATCTTACCTCCGTTCCTCGCATTAATGTGCAGGACCTAGAAGAAGCTGATGCTACCGCTCAGCGCTATATTAGAACCTTTGCCGCTGGACCCAACCCAGGATTATCGGAAGGATCCAACATCCGAGTGGATGAAAAGAGAACCGCAGCACGAAAGAAACTGGAGGAACGCATAGCAGCTGGTAAATTAAACGAGAACTTTGTGACCATAAACATTCAAAAGAAAAAATTCGTCCGTGGCAAAAAGTCCGTGAACTTCAGCAAGTACAAGAAGCAACAGTGGCGGAATAAGAAACGAGTGGCGGCCTTGAGTGGACCGGATATGGATATGGGTGGCTGTGATGGCGGAGTGCTCACCTGCTTCCA